TTTTTTATGGTTTTATGTCGCTTAAAAGTTGGTTTGCTGGAAGAGGATTTAGCTGCCAGATTTGGTGTAGCCCAGAGCACTGTCTCTTCAATTATAAACACCTGGATTAAGTTTATCTTTTACAGGTTCAGAGAGCTTGATGTGTTTCCCCCACGAGAGATTGTTCAATTACACATGCCGGAATGCTTTAAAAAAAAATATCCAAGCACAACTCTGATAATAGATGCTACAGAAATCTTCATTGAAAAACCAAACAACCCAGAAGCCCAACAGCTAACTTTTTCTTCCTATAAAAATGCCAACACTCTAAAAGCTTTAGTTGGCATTGTGCCAAAAGGGGGGATATCCTTTGTCTCAACACTGTTTGGTGGCAGCATTTCAGATAAGGAACTCACTGAAAAGTCAGGACTCATTGATAAACTACAAAGAAATGATGTCATTATGGCAGACCGTGGTTTCAACATTAGTAATTTACTAGCTGAGAAAGGAGTCAAAGTCAATATCCCACCGTTCATGAATGTATCGGGCCAATTTGAAGAAAGTGAACTTCTTGAAACCAGGCGAATCGCCACATTAAGAATTCATGTTGAGAGAGCTATGGAGAGGATCAAGAATTTTCACATTTTGGACTTTATTCCCATTACTTTATGTCGAAATGGCATAATTGACATGATCTTTTTTGTTTGTGCCATGCTATCAAATTTTCAAAAGCCTTTAGTCAATGGTTAAGCTCTAATACAATCATAGCTGTGAGACACTGAAGTCCTCCTGACTTGAAGTTTGCAGAACATTCTAGAGCTTTTAGATCTTTCAAGAGCAGTCACAATATTATGTAATACAAGTTTAGTCACATCTTGAATTTAGAAAAACACAGCTGTCTGCTTGTGTTACAACACAGAGGATGGTTGGTTTGGGAGCCAAGGCCTACTTTGGCCAAATAAAGTCAAGCTAAAAATTGTGAAATAAATTTAATATTTTACACTAGTTTAGTGGTGAATATATTTTTGCACTCGTTATAGTCTATCATAAAGTTAAATATGTTAAAGATAATTTGTGGCTATAACAAAATGGCATATTTTAGGTCAATCTAAGTTGAGGCAAATGGTCAGCGGTTTCCCAATAAAATTGCGCGAAACGAGGCCAAAGGTTACAAATGGCGGGAAATAATGACATGGAACAAGTAACAAAAAGCATTGATCCTCCGAATACTACGCCTCCTAATGCTTTTTTTAGCGAAGAAGATCGTGTTCAAATGCTCAGCGGTGTATGTCCACGGAAAATAACAAAAGATTCTTTAAAGCAATGGTTGAGTTATCGAAAAGGCACGTCAAGAAATGGAAGCGCTTCCTCCAACGACAACAAACCCGAGTTGTTTRGAAGGTTCGAAATTTGTTGTTATAGTAGTTTAATGGCTTTTAGTATCTTTGTATTAGTTAATTTAAATATATTTTTATCTCCTGTTAGGGTTATAAGCTATATTAAAAACAAATGGGAGAATGATTTTGTCGAGAAATGGAAACATTTGTTGCAAACATCGTCCGAGCCAGTTGTGCAAACACAGCCAAGCACATCAAAAAGCAGTGTAGACGTATTTCCTGGAGCAGCTGATTGGTCAACACTTGTTCGAGCAAGGAATGACTGTCCTCCGTTCACCATCCAAAATATTCTTGAATATTTTATTTACAGAAAGTCAAAGGATAAAGAATCAAATGATGATTACAAGAATGTTTGTTCAAAGGCGTATGGCCTTTTCAAACATGGACACATTCAAAAGATTGAACTTGCGACTGATGAAACCTACGTTCACATTCGTGCTGATTGCTTGCCAGAAATGAAAAAAAGTTTGAAGTATAAATTGAATATGTCAATGGATAAAAAGGGAGATATTGTGTATGCAAACTGTTCTCCATGCCCTGCAGGGAAGGGGCCATTTGCATCCTGTAAACATATAGCTGGACTTTGCTATGCTTTAGAAGAATTTAGTCGACTGAACTCTCTGAGAGAATTTGAAACCTGTACAGATCGGTTACAAACATGGAATCAGCCAAGAAAAAGGAAGTTAGATCCTGAAAATGTGTATGACATAGACTTTTCAAGAAAGATTTATGGTAGACCTGCAAAGGAAGCAAAAACTGAGTTGCATGATCCCAGACTCCCTTGCTACAGACAAGAAAATCCAAAGGAGGCAAACAAGTGTCTTCTTAGTTTAATTAATGAAAGAGTTAATCCAAATTGTGGGTTCTTTTTCTTATTGTCAGATGAACCATTGAAAAAGGATTGCAGTGTAGTTTACACTATGCCCCTTTCTGAGAAACAACCACTGTCAAAACAAGATATTCTAGATAGAGCATCAGCAATAAAAAAAAGGTTATTTGTAGATGACAAGACAAGACAAGAAATTAAAGAAGCTACAAAAAATCAAAGTGAGAGTGATGATTGGTTTTACCACAGGAAAGTGAGAATCACTGCTTCTAAGTGCAAAAGAGCATTATTAAGGCCAACAACAAGCCCAARCAAAGCAATAAGTGAGATACTAGGAATAAATAGCAGCTTTCAGAGTTCAAAAATGGCCCAAGGACTTAAAGATGAAAAGAAAATTTTAAAAATATACCAGGATCTTATCGGATGTGGCCCTGTAGATAAGGCAGGTTTCAGCATCTCCAAGACTCATGCATTCCTTGGTGCATCCCCTGATGGTGAAATTGATGGTGGTCTTGTGGAGGTAAAGAGGATCTTCCCAAAAGAAGGTGAATCCTTAAAGAAAGCAGCACTATCAAGGCATANTATACACAGGAATGATAGGTTTTTAAGTAACATTATACCCAAGTTAGAGCAGTTCTATGACTCACATATCCTCCTAGAGCTTGCTTATCCTAGACTTAAACATGGACTCAGCAGAGTCAGTAAGTACATATGTTTAGAACGTCAGCTTTAAGAAGTAACAGATAAATTATTGCCCAAAGTAATCAATCTTTTGAGAGTGCAATTATTTAAAGTTCAGTGCTGACTTATAAGTGAAAGAGTGCATACAATCATTGAAGCAAATAAAATCAATTGACATTAAGCAGCATTGATTGGACAAAGGAATAGCAAAATGTGTTTCTATTTATGTTTTACTTGAACAGTTCAGCTGACTTTCATATACAGCTGTAGTTTAGATTGAATTTAATTCCCAATACTAATAATATTGTTTGTTTAATTACATATAATTGTAATATTATTTTATTGTTTATTATTTATGGATTGATTTTCCCTCACGCAGGTCACAATAGATGTATATGATATTGATATAATGTATTGTAATGACATTATAKAATATTTATTTATAAATTATATTATCTAATAATCAATGACATTTTATGAAAAGAAATGTATTTCTTGACTTGATTACTCTGAGAAAATGAATAAACTTTTCAAAYTATTTCATGCACATTCTTTATATCACATGATGACTGAAATATACTGTACAATGTTTACTTATGCTGCAGTACCTGTGTGTACTGTAAGTGATACTCAGGCGGGTACATTGACATCAAATCAACCTATTTTTTTTGCTATTTTTGCACATACGTTTTGGGATAAAAGTAAGAATATGGCAGATTTTTATTTTCCTGCATACATGTAGATCTAGAATACAAAGTTAAAGAAATGAAATGGATCTGTTTGGAGTGATATCAGCTATAATAAAGCTTTGAGAGTCTGTTTAATGAAACTGATCATGATCATACAATTTCATTGCAAAAAAGTATTATAAAATCCAAAAGCAATATACAAAATAATCAACTTTATTTCAAATTTATTAATGCTTATTTTGTTATCTCAATGCTTTACATTTAAATTTTTATTATTTATATACAATAACAGTATGAAAATCAAATCTTACATTCATAATTTATATAGAAGTTGAGGTTTTGGATGATAAAAAATCATACAATCATTCAATGATTTATTGTTGTTATTGATAAATTATCTTTTTGGATTCCACTTGTCAAATATACAGTGTACATATATTCAATCACAAACACAAGAAAAAACAACAAAGTAACTGAAAGACAACAAAATAACTGACGCTGTGATTCATGCACAATCTCTTGGTTATTGAGAGACTAATAAGATGCCCAGAAGTTTGTTTARAGTATATTTTGCATGATTCCGARCGTCKWTCATCATCAGTTTAATGACTTTWAAGTCAAATCCTTYTCATCTTATTATCTTATTTATTATTAGKTCAARGAAACAAAACGAAACGAAACATTTTCAATCTCGTTCTTATCAGACTTCKATACTTGTAAACAGATCGACCGCTTCCATCTTTACCACCTCCTTGTCCGTATAAGAGCCATTTTMTAGTCTAGCCTTCAGTACACTGCAAGGACAGTTACCACTSAATGGTTGAACCTTTACTTCAGCTGATACAAAAGCAGTTTTMGGCAGATATTTGGTGTTTTTCTTCTTAGTAATGACCTTCACCATACATTGTTTATCAAAAATCGGCGAAGCTCGACCCGATAGTCTCGTTTTGATGCTATTTTTCGAAAGATACCGCTGGATGGTCAGAATGTCGTGCTCCACTGCGATAAGAGCTATTGATTATTGCCTTTCTGTGAGTACCAGAATGTATAGTATTATGCTTAGGTTTCTTTGAATTTTTTTTTGTTATTGATTAGGTTCTGTGTCTATTGTTTTGACAGTTTGGACTGAACTWAAAAATCTGTGCTCTTTTCTCTCGCTGGTACTCACAGAAGCAGCCCATGATTACTAATAGTACAATAATCAAGATAAGTAAGATGGCCATTGACAGCCTTTCCTCCAATTACATAGGTTCGAAATTCTGGAAGTGTCCATCAAGAAAAATTTAATCCATTCCTCAGTCTGCTGACATTACCAAAAGGAAGAAAAAGAGCACATTCTCTGACACCAGTTCAGAGTCGGAGGGGGAGCCTGTAACTTCAGCACATAAGAAAAGGAGAAGCTCCCGACATGAGAAAACATTGGAAAGTATCACAGATGAAATGAAGTCTCTCTTCGACAACAGTTGCATGAAGTGTCCAAATCGGTTGAAGAGATATCCAAAGCGATCAAAGAAATAACAAGCATAAGCAAATCGATGACCATCCCATTGAGCTTGGGGAAATTGATGTGGGACACCTTCCGGTGTACCATATGTCTCAAGCAGCCCATYCATCCACCAATTGTTGTGGCCAAATGTTGCAACATTTTGTTGGGGTGTGCAACATGCGTAAACCAGTGGTATGGTGGTTCTGATGGGTTGGATAAAGGATTCCCCCATTGTAGAGAACCAAGGGGTTATGCTTCAACAGGTCAATTCAAGGGATTGGATGACTTTTTGCAAGCCATTCAAAACATTTTTGATGGAGGTGAATCTGAAGATTCAGGTAGCAAAGATGACCAACTCCTCTGACGAGAACCCATGAACAATACATARAGCTGCGTTTTCAATTTGTCATCAATTCATTTAGAAAGGTATCTAATTWATACACAATTTGTTTTGACTTCTTGGCCATTTTATTATTTATTATTACGCTACCCAGAGCCCTTTGCAATCCAAAATCAAGATGGTGACTACTCGTTGAAAAGGATGTGTATTTCGCGTTTTGTGAGGTTTGTGTAACAACAGGAGCTTCCAAAGAATACTGAATCCTCTGATGTTATTGTATATTTTATATGGTAATTAATGGATTCTTAGCTTCCATTTCATTCATTTATTTGTACTTTTTTGAGGCTGAAGTAGACTGCAGTTTTGCTCTGCATTCTTACACATTCTTATACTTACCCATAATGTCAACGTGATGTAACCTGGACATCTCTTGTGGTTGCCATCAGCAAAGCACATTTCTTTTGCAAGTAGACCATCCTTGTCCATGTCCATGTCTAGTGCCATTTCAAGAAGTTTCTTACTGGTTTTGAAGACATATGATGGACCACCTGAAATTTAACAAATAAAATGTTCATGTACAGTCCACAATGGAAAAGTTGAAGGTATGCAAAAAAATTAGCAATGTAGGTTAATACGCCTAAATACAAATATAACACGCGCCTCAAATGGCCGCCGCTAAATTATGCCGTGTGCATACTCTTGTTATTTATTTTGTTTTGGCTTTATTAACTTTAAATTTCTACATTCATTTTCAAAGTTATGGTCAATGTGATCATAATTGTTCGTCCTCTTCCTTGGTTTCTGCACGTATTATTGTCAAGTTTGTGTTTTCGTCGTATCGTCCGTTACGTTTCAAGTGTATCAAGTTGATTTCTACTGGTTTCAAAAAGTCCTCTTTTGCTGTTACAAAGACAACTAAACATGGCGGTACGACTCTATCTATTCCTGGACATGACCCGCCGACTGATATTACTATTTCTATGGACATTGAACTTAATCCTGGCCCTACAACGTCTAAAAGTAACTCTGATCAATTACCGTTAATTTTGAATTCCACATCTGTGCTGTCTACTAATTCCTGTAACTCATCATCGTTTTGTGCTTCGTTGAATTGTTCATCGTCAAATTGTCAAACTCTGTCAGATAAACGTTCTCTTTTGCATGCTAATCAAGTTAATGGAGCTCCGCATAATTTTTCAACACGGATCCATGATGTGTCCGTTGATCTTTCAAATTTGAATTCTACTTTGTGTTCTTCCTCAAGATCTCGTCGGATTCCTGAAATAACTTNGCTTTTTTTTTTACTTTTTCTTTCAGCCGTTTCATCTTTTTTGGTGCCACACTGGACGACAGGTCCATGATGTCATCAATACTCTTACCCTTCTCAACGATCTGCTCGATGATCTGGCTGTTTGTGTATGCCTTGGGTCCTAGCTTTTTCATGGTCTTAATTGTGGAAGTGGCATCATCACATCTTTCCTTATGGTATGCTTTTGGGACACAGGTATGATACACTACAACAGTGTTCTTGTTGTCGTCAAACTCCCAGACCTTACTAGCCTCACATGGAACATGTACCACAGGAGCACCACAGCTGTGACACACCTCTCCAGATTTGAATTCAAACTGCGCCATGTTTCGTTTGGAGAACTGACGCAGGTATGGGTAGTCATCGTTCACACATTTGGATGATCCTTTACATCTGGCCAGGCGGCGAATTCCTGAAAAGCCCTTTCTCCTGGATGTCATAAAACCAGCCCATGGACGCCCATCCCTTGTCGATTCCATTCTYTTGTCTTTCTGAAAAGTAAGTTGGAACATGGCCAAGCCATCGATGTTGTAAGGTAGTTCACTAACTTGCTGCAGTTCTACGTCCAGCCACAAGTCCGGAGTCAGCCTCATGTTCTTTCTATATAAAAATAGAGAATGACCACATAAATAWAAAAAATAACATAGTATATTGTAGTAGATAAGCTGGCGGTCAAAATATAAACACCCACTTCTTCCAAAGACCTGATATCTACTGACAATAAAAAGCTTTAAAAGTACATAGACCATTTCCGAATTCAAACAATACCATATTTCTCATGGAGAACAAATTAAAAGATGCAGAATGCAATTGGGTAACAAATTATTTCCAGTGAGTTTCACAGAACTTTGACAGGCATGATTCCAAAGTTTGTGTCAAACTTCTGAAGTTCACACCATGAAATAATAKATTCAGAATTCAAATATTTCCTGAAATTGRATGTATAACCTGTTACAAATCTGATTTAATTGAATGATAATTAAAAAAGACATAAGAAATGTGATTTTTTTCTTAATTGTTTGTGAATTCCCTTTTGTGTGTCTTACCTTTTTAGAGGAAATATTGGCTTAYTATCTTTGAATGTGTCATTATCATCATCACTGTAACAAGTAACAAATAGTAGTTAGAAAAACAAAATATTGTATTGTAAGGGAAGTATGTTAACATGCACCCTTTTTGAATTATTTACCTGTAGTCAAGCTGAGTTTTCGCATCGTCGATTGTACCA